GAACAAAGGCAACTGCAGAAGGCCCATTGGCCCATACGAGGCAGCTCCTATTCTATAACCACCCAATCCCACTCATATACTTGTCCAACCCGTGCTTGAAACAATCGAGGGACCCCACCTCCACAATGTTACGCGGCAATTGGTTCCACAAATCAACAACCCTGTTACTGAACCAGTATTTACCCAAGTCTTTCCTAAATCTAAACTTATCCAATTTATATCCATTGTTTCGTGTTCTGTCCTGTGTTGATACTTTTAATACCCTATTAATATCCCCCCGGTTATGTCCATTCATCCACTTGTAAACCTCTATCATGTCACCCCTAACTCTTCGCCTTTCCAGTGAATGCAACTTAAGCTTTGTTAATCTTTCTTCATATGAAAGATTTCTAATTTGGGGAATAAGGAAGTACCTAAATATAAGTACGAATAAGGAAGTACCTAAGCAGTAGGAAGCAGAGTTACAGTGAGGGGTGAGACCTCAGATTGGCGTGAAGTCACCAGTGGAGTCCCACTAAGCTCAGTACTCGGACAAATCCTGTTTCTGATATACATAAATGATCTCCCAGAGGGTATAGACTCATTCCTCTCAATGTTTGCTGACGACGCCAAAATTATGAGAAGGATTAAGACTGAGGACAGGCAAGAAGACCTGAACAAGCTGCAGGAATGGTCGAACAAATGTTTGTTAGAGTTTAACCCAAGCAAATGTAATGTAATGAAGATAGGTGTAGGGAGCAGAAAATCAGATACAAGGTATCATTTGGGAGATGAAATACTTTAAGAGTCAGAGAGAAAGACCTGGGGTTGACATCAGGCCAGACCTGTCCCTTGAAGCCCATATCAAGAGGATAACATCAGCGGCATATGCCAGGTTGGCTAACATAAGAACGGCCTTTAGAAACTTGTATAAGGAATCTTTCAGAACTTTGTATACTACATATGTCAGACCAATCCTGGAGTATGCGGTTCCAGCATGGAGTCCATATCTAGTCAAGAATAAGACTAAACTGGGAAAGGTTCAAAGGTTTGCCACCAGGCTAGTTCCCGAACTGAGGGTTATGAGCTACGAGGAGAGACTACGGGAATTAAACCTCACGTCACTGGAAGACAGAAGAGATAGAGGGGACATGACCACCACATACAAGATTCTCAGGGGAATTGATAGGGGTAGATAAAGACAGACTATTTAACACAAGAGGCACACGCACTAGAGGACAAAAATTGAGTGCCCAAATGAGCCATAGAGACATTAAAAAGAATTTTTTCAGTGTCAGAGTTGTAGACAAATGGAATGCATTAGGAAGTGATGTGGTGGAGGCTGACTCCATACACAGTTCCAAGTGTAGATATGATAGAGCCCAATAGGCTCAGGAACCTGTACATTAGTTGATTGACAGTTGAGAGGCGGGACCAAAGAGACAGAGCTCAACCCCCGCAAGCACAGCAAGGTAAGTACAATGTTTACTCACCTAGTTGTGCTTGTGGGGGTTGAGATTTGGCTCTTTGGTCCCGTCTCTCGACTATAAATCAACTGGTGTACAGATTCTGGAGCCTATTGGGCTCTATCATATCTACACTTGAAACTGTGTATGGAATCAGCCTCCACCACATCAATGCCTAATGCATTCCATTTATTAACTACTCTTACACTGAAAAAATTCTAATGTCTCCGTGGCTCATTTGGGTAAAAAGTTTCCACCTGTGGCCACTTGTTCGTGTTCCACCCGTGCTAAATATTTCGTCTTTGTCTGCCCTGTCAATTCCCCTTAGAATTTTGTAGGTCGTTATCATGTTTCCCCTTACTCTACTGTCTTCCAGGGATGTAAGGCTTAGCTCTCGTAACGTTTCCTCATAGTTCATGCCTCCCAATTCTGGGACTAGTCTGGTGGCATACCTCTGAAACTTCTGTAAATTTGTCTTGTGTTTAACTAGGTATGTACTCCAGTCTGGAGCTGCATACTCCAGGATTGGTCTGACATGTGTGTGTGTGTGTGTGTGATTGTTGAAGGGGCACATGTTGATGGTTGCCCGCCTGCATGCGAAGCTGCATCTTTCATAAACCATAAACAAAGAAAGAGACACAATGAAAGATAACTCAGAGAGTAAGAGTATGCAAGCAAACCACTATGAGGGCAGACTCACCTGCTACCTATGTCTCTCTCTCTCTCTCTCTCTCTCTCTCTCTCTCTCTCTCTCTCTCTCTCTCTCTCTCTCTCTCTCTCTCTCTCTCTCTCTCTCTCTCTCTCTCTCTCTCTCTCTCTCAGTGTCCTCATGACCTCCCGTCGCCACCCACGTAATGAACAGCGTACACCCATTTTACAACCCGCGGAAGAATATGTAGAGAGAAAACCTGCCATTAACCCTCTCCTAATGACATCGTGCTAAGAGGGCCTTACAAACACGCACTTACACTACCAGGCTCCGGAAATAACTCAGCTGTACTAAGCTGAAGTCCTGCTCTGTAAACAATACTAGAACCTTCAATAGCAATATAATTATTGTCTTCACTATACTATAGTCCCCTACCTCCCACAACATATTCCTACAGTGTCTAACACTACTGATAGTACAACCTTCCCTGACGCTTAGGAGAAAACGTTTATTCCCCTACCAATCAATAGATAACCGGAAATTAGGCAAACCTGAGGACGGGCAGTAGCTAATCTAGGGGGGGAAAGTACCGATATAACTAAGGAGGCTTCCTGTCCCCGACATTGGGGCCCCTATGCCAGCTGCCTTTGAAATTTGCCCAAAACAAATATTATCGATTAAAGAAGCGGGTTTATCTCTGCTTGGGCCATCGTCGACATTGCCACCCACAAAGCTATAAACACTAATGAGAACGAAGTCACCTTCACCAGCACCTACGCTACCACCTACATCAACACCTACCTTCACGAGCACCTACGCTGCCTCCTACACCAATACCTTCCCCGTACCACCTAACAACAACACCTCTCTCCACCATCTGTAACAATACCTCCACCCGCCACCTACATTTGCTTCTACCACCTAAACCATTCCACATCACTTACACTAATCCCACCATTTACACAACCACCTCTATCCTACACAACCTACACAACCGCTTACTACCTACATCTACACCACCACCCTACACCACCAGGTGTTTGTGACGAGGGGGTAGGTATACACCTATACCTATCCTCATCACAAACACCTACCCCCACTACCAACACCTACCACCACTACCAACACCTATCACCACTACCAATACCTATCACCACTACCAACACCTATCACCACTACCAATACCTATCACCACTACCAACACCTACCACCACTACCAACACCTATCACCACTACCAACACCTACCCCCACTACCAACACCTACCACCACTACCAACACCTATCACCACTACCAACACCTACCCCCACTACCAACACCTATCACCACTACCAACACCTACCCCCACTACCAACACCTACCACCACTACCAACACCTATCACCACTACCAACACCTATCACCACTACCAACACCTATCACCACTACCAACACCTATCACCACTACCAACACCTATCACCACTACCAACACCTATCACCACTACCAATCACCTATACTTACCCTTCCATATACACTAATACACCAACCAGTATCCGCCTGTCGTTTGAATTTAGGACATTTGGATTGTATCCACATATTCCTACGTGATCTGACTCACATAGGGTGTTAAATATGATTGAGTGTTGTGCCAGGGTGTTATGCCAGTGTTGTGACAGTGTTATGTCAGTGTTATGCCTGTGTTATGCCAGCATTATACCAGAGTGTTATGCCAGTGTTATGACAGTGTTGTGACAGTGTTATGTCAGTGTTATGTCAGTGTTATGCCAGCATTAAACCAGAATGTTATGCCAGTGTTTAAACATGCACACAAATCACTGATCTATATATGTGAGTGCCCCTCCCCCCTCCTCCACCTCTCTCTCTCTCTCTCTCTCTCTCTCTCTCTCCTCTCTCTCTCTCTCTCTCTCTCTCTCTCTCTCTCTCTCTCTCTCTCTCTCTCTCTCCCCCCCCCCCCTCCCCCCCTCCTCCGTGGCGCTCACATAACACAGTGCTCATCTCCACCTTCATCAACCCACAGGGCCTCTCTACGTATCTTATTCAGTCCTACATTTACCTTCTTGGGGCGCGTAGTTGACTGTGAAATTTGTTTCATAAATGTAAACAAACAACATCTACCTTTTAGGAAATTGTCTCTAATGTACCTCAAGAAACAAGTGCAAGACAATGCAAGTGATTGCATAGTTGCAACACTGTTATTGCCAGGCGAATATTTTGTTCTTTTTATTAATTCTTTGAGTTATCAATACAAATCTAATTTGCATAAATTGAGTAATAATGCAGAATAAATCCTCAATATATTAAATTCTTTATTTAGCATTTTTTAATGTAAGATTTTTCTACCCTAAGAAAAAGGCATAGTATTCTTTCTCACACATACAAAAATAAATAAAACTTAAAAATATATTAGTGTTGTATATTCCAACTGCTCTCAAGACAAGAAATTTGTTAAATATTTCATTACAAGACAGCCAGAACAACTGGTATTAGTCGTCGAGAAATAAGCAGGCTCCCATCGCCTCAATATCCACGCAATTCCTATCTTTTTATCATTTTTTTCCCCCCCTTGCTCTCTTCCTCGTGGTGGGCGCTGAGTCTCGCATGTACGCCAGCCGGGATGACTGACAAGTGACCCTCCCCCTCCGTCCAGCAGCCAATCAGCGGCCGCCTCGCGCACCACGACATCTGGCGCCCGCTACGGGAACTGACAGCCACCACCGTTGCCAGCAGCAGAGATCTCATTTTTTTTCCCTTGACCCTTTTTTTTTTTTTATCCGCACCACGGTTTGTTTTAGATGCTCCTTGCTTTTATCTCTGGGTCCTGGGCGAGCACATCTGATAGGTGTTTTGCCGCGATGCGCTACAGTCCGTGATTCCTTGAGGGGCCCCGCGGAGCGAGGGAATTTGTGATGTACGGTGAAGGAGGAGAGGAAGACCCGCCTGGCGAAGGTGTAGCAAGAGAAGGAGGTGATACCGAGTCTTGAATGGCGAGGTGGTGGTCCCCCCTTCCCTCTGCCACACTTCTCTCACCTTCCCCCTTTCTCTCCCTCTCTCTCTCTCTCTCTTCTCTCTCTCTATCACCGTCGAAAATGAAAGAGAAATACACTTCCAGAATAAATATGTTTTACGCTAAAAAGAAGAAGAATCATATATATTCACCTGTAGAAAAACTATTCAATCTCCTCCCACACACCAGCATTGTATCCCCCCTCCCCCCGCCCCCAGAGTGACCACTTGTGGGAACACTTACGACCCAAGTCCACCATACACAACCTGAAGACCACATTAACACAGCGCTCAGGAAACCTGATCAACTCCCGCCACGTGTCTGTGATGGTGGCCACTCCACGACTCCCCCAACACTGCATGTTATCACCGCCCACCACTCCACGACTCCCCCAACACTGCATGTTATCACCGCCCACCACTCCACGACTCCCCCAACACTGCATGTTATCACCGCCCACCACTCCACGACGCCTCCAACACTGCATGTCATCACCGCTTACCACTCCACGACGCCCCCAACACTGCATGTCATCACCGCTTACCACTCCACGACGCCCCCAACACTGCATGTCATCACTGCCCACCACTCCAGGACGCCCCCAACACTGCATGTCATCACTGCCCACCACTCCAGGACGCCCCCAACACTGCATGTCATCACCGCCCACCACTCCACGACGCCTCCAACACTGCATGTCATCACCGCTTACCACTCCACGACGCCTCCAACACTGCATGTCATCACCGCTTACCACTCCACGACGCCCCCAACACTGCATGTCATCACTGCCCACCACTCCAGGACGCCCCCAACACTGCATGTCATCACTGCCCACCACTCCAGGACGCCCCCAACACTGCATGTCATCACCGCCCACCACTCCACGACGCCCCCAACACTGCATGTCATCACCGCCCACCACTCCACGACGCCCCCATCACTGCATGTCATCACCGCCCACCACTCCACGACGCCCCCAACACTGCATGTCATCACCGCCCACCACTCCCAACAACACGCCATACAACCCAGAACAAAAACTCCAACTTGCGAACACAGGATAAACACACACGTACACGCGAAAGCTCTGTAG